CAGCCTCTAGAACTGTGAGAAAATAAATTTCTGTTATTTAAGCCACCCAGTCTGTGGTATTTTGTTAGGCAGCCCAAGCAGACTCATTCACTCAGGCTGTATCAACTTTTCATGGAGACTGGCAGGACAGCAGAGGGCCTCAGGCCTGTGACCAGGATCTGTGCTCATTACTTTATAGAAATGAAAGGGTTTTCTCTCTCAGCACATTTTAATGATTCACATTTCCGAATGAAGGAATCACCAATTAAAACTTGAAAGAAGAAAATTTGTGGTGGATAATCTGTTGTCACTTTGTACAGCTTCATATTACTGGCTAGTGACATCTGCTGGAGATTTGTGGCAAGATAAATTCCTTCAAACAACGGGCTGTGCTGCTCTTAGTCTTCATTTTCAGTAGGTCTGGAGCACCTCATGACCCTCAGTGTAGTTCTTGAGGCTACACAGGCGATCACACAGCCTCCCCCATGTTACTTGTGCACTGAGACAAGCCCCCTGATGTGTAGAACATAAGGGCAGCAATCACATAGGCACTTAAAAGTGGATTTTTATACAGAAAATGAGAAAAGTCATTTGGGATCAAGACCAGAAAGAGGAGAGATTGGGTGTAAACAGAGGAAGAGGGCAAAGGGTGGTGAGTTCACAGTTCAAAAGGAAAGGGAAAAAATGACCAGTTTTGAAAAATAAAGACAATGTTTTCCCACAAATAGAAGCATATTAATAATTTTTAATGAAAATTATTTCTGTTTAAATCATAGTTCTGTACTTGAAGACTGAAACATTTGCTGCCTCAGTTACATTAATGTCTAAAACTATAAACATTAGTTAAATTGTTAAAGTGCTTTTGTCTAAAGTCAGAGGAAAAGCAAGCTGGAGATAGGCTAGCCCAAGACTAAGTATCCTTGTCAGTAAAATCTGTCAGTCTTACCATTGAAGGCTTATTATTTTAAATGAAAATTTTCATATAAATGCAAAACTAGAGGAAGTATAATAATACCCATGTACCCATGTAGCTCCAAAATGAAGGGTTTTTTAAATGCATTTTGCTGAAAAGACATTTTGAAGTCATGTATTAAAGAGTAGCAATTGGAGTAGAATGAATAAAGGTCAAAATGAGAATATTTCTGAAGTAGAATTTGATATATTCATTGGGTAAGAGGAGAAAGAAGGAAGTCATGGTGAATTCCAAATTTCTAGTTTAGAAAACTGGGCTGATAATGACAACATTTATCAGGAGCACAGAGAACCAAGAGGCTTGCAGGTTAACGTAGTGTCTGGTTAGGTGCCTTCAGTGCAGCTTCCTCAGTCCCCTACAAAATACCTGTGAAGATGCAAAGAGTAGAGGCAGTAATGTCTAGGAACTCAGGAAAGTGTGTGCTTTAATCTGTAGGATAGATCTGAGATAAACACACCTTGATTTTCTCTTGTAGAAGCAGGAGTGGCTTAGAGAAAGATAATTGGTTATCTACATCCCTTTGTCACTTTCCTGGCTCAGCTACCCAAAGCCGAAACCAGCCAGGTACCGAGAGCCCTCTGCAGAGTATCACCTGATGCTGTTTTAGGGACTAGAATGGTGTCTGTCCTCTTACTCCCTTCTCCCTAATTTTTCTTTATTTAAGGATTCTGGGTTCCTGTTGAACAGAGTATTGATGGCATCATGGCACAGGAGGTGTGGTCCACACAAGTAGAGTATTATAGGCTGGGCAGGGAAGGGAGTCCTGTCTATAGGACATGCTGGGAGCCCCATTTCTCAGGTATTCCATTAGTTCAGAGAATCAGTGAGGAACAGGAAGCTGGGATACAGCTGGACCCGGGCTGCAGTGAGTAAATGTCTCTAAGAAACCAGGAGTTACATTGACAGCAGTATGTATCAGCTTGTCCTCTAGTTGTAGATACAAGTTGTGATAAAAAAATACTGTGGTGCCGGAGTGGCGCGATGGTTAAGAACTGGCTTGGGATGCCAGAGGACCCTGGTTCGGATCCCACATATGAGGGCCAGTGACACTGCCCTCTACAGCTAA